TTTGTTGGAGATGGGCAAATTCAAAACAAGCTATATGGTGGGAACTGAGAAAACAAAAACTTTAGAGCAGGTTTCTGTGGAAGCAAGTACAGGGTTAAAAAATCTCCTTAATTACCTGCTTTTTCATGTTGAGCCTGGCCTTTTTGTAAGTATCTGCATAGCTTTTCTACTCTTCTAATTTATTGCTTAAAATTGGCTCCTCAAATTTACTGGCACAAGAAAGAATGCTAACTGTCTTTTATTTATCTCATTTGGATTTCTGCCTAATGGCTTTCGAATGTAAGTTTTACAGTTGTTTGATTGTATAAGGACAAACAGTTTTTCCTTTATCATTTCAGGTCCTAAATTGTTGGATTACACTTATCATCCCAATTTAGAGCATAAGTGTAAGAAGGATATTCTAATTGGTAGAATAAAGAACTCTGAAGATAAATCATGGAAAAAAATACGTCCAAGACCAACAAAGACTCAGTATGTGGGACCATATTATATATGCAAAGGTATGTGTTATTAATATGGATGTTTATATGGTTGATGCTAATTCAGTAAAAAGGAAATTTGTTTGCAACACTCACTTTAAGGTTTTTAATGACCGTGCTAAATATGAAGTAATATACTTCTGTATTTTTACTCTAAGTATATATAACCTTTTTTAATTCATCAAGAAGAAAAAAATAATTCATTGATATTTTGGTATTTTTCGAAGGGATTTAAGTGAAACTACATAATGAAAACTATGTAGTAGTAAGATACACTGGATAGGGCCAGTGTTCAGAGAGACCTAGAGAAATTGGAGGATTAGACCAAAAGAAGTCTCATGAGGTTCAAAAAGGAGAAGTGCAAAATTCTGTACTTGGGACAGAACAATCCCATGTACCAGTACGAGTTTGGGACCAGCTGGCTAATCAGCAGTTCTGTAGAAAAGGACCTGGGGTTACAGTGGACAGTAAACTGAATAGGAGCCAGCAGTGTGCCCTTGTTGTGAAGAAGGCTAACAGCATACTGGGCTGTATTAGTAGGAGCATTGCCAGCAGATAAAGGGAAGTGTTGATCCTCCTCTATTTGGCACTGGTGAGGCCACACCTGGAGTACTGTGTTCAGTTTTGCGCCCCCTCCTCCAACTACAGAAAGGATGTAGACAAATTGGAGAGAGTCCAGTGGGGGGGCAACAAAACTGGTAAGGTGGATGGGACACATGACTTATGAGCAGGTACCAGGCTTATTTAGTTTGGAGGAGAGAAGACTGAGGGGAGTTTAATGGCAGCCTTCAACTACCTGAAGGATGGTTCCAAAGATTGTGGAGCTGGACTATTCTCAGTGGTGGCAGATGACAGAACAAGGAACAATGGTCTCAAGCTGCAGCAAGGGAAGGTTAGGTTAGATATTAGGAAAAACTTTCTCACTAGGAGGGTAGTACAAACACTGGAACAGGTTACCCAGAGAGGTTGTTTGGAGTCTCAGTCTATCTTTGGAGGTTTTTAAGACCCGACTAGACAAAGCCTTTGCTGGGATGATCTAGTTGGGGAATAGTTCAGCTCTGCCCTCTTTCAGCAGCAGGTTGGACTAGATGACCTCTTGATGTCTGGACCTTCCAACTCCTAATTATCTGTGATTCTATGATTGTGGTTACCTTTGGAGAGCATATTTTTCAATAATTATTCATATTTGACTAGCTAATGTTTTAAAAAGATATGGCAGTAATTTCTGGGATTATTCCAACTGTTGAGTATACTCTAATGTCTTAGTTATTTAGGAGTCTGGACACTTCAGTGGTTAATAACCACTGTTCACAGTATGAGCCTTCTACTTTGGAATTCAGGGAATTAATTAGTTTGTCATATTATGCAAACTGTAGTTAAATCTGGCAAAGAAAAGGTATCTTGTATTTTCAATATTTTTGCTTGAAATAGAGGAGAGTTGCTGCAGGTTGCAAAGATAATTGGTTCAGCTGTGCCTACCTAAGAATACATATGCTTTTTTTTTGCTCTTTTGAGTGAGTCCAAATTATGGCTGCTTGCAGATGTTAAATAGAAAATGCAGTGCCTTGTTTCCAGTATCTACTGGAAGAAGCAGTGTATTGCGTCAGCCTTCCTCCATGACGTCTGTAAAGATTGGGCACTTCAGCAGGGCTTTTTGGCGCTTTTTAGCTGAAGCTGATTCAATCAACTATTAGATAAAAGCCCCACTAAAGTACCCAATTTTTACAGACGTTGGGTGAGCTGGGTTAAAGTAAAGCGCTGCTTCTTCTGGGCATGTGCGGGTCTGGGCACAGGAACACCTAGTTTAAAGTAAACTGCTGTTTTGGGTTTTTTTACATCTGCAAGCACCCTATAATATTGCCTTGTTCAGTGCAATACTTTACAAAGTAGCAAGACTGAAGAGACTAGAACTGTGTACCAGACAGATTTATCACAAAAAATATTTTGAATGGAGATTATGGCTACAAACAGATGTCATCTTTGTGCCACCATAAAAATTTATGATTGCACAAAACCAGAACAAACAGATCTCTTAGTTTTTTGTTGTACCGTAAATGCCCAAATTTGAGTGCTATAATTCCTAGTCAGAGTTTGTGCTGCCTTTTTGCGACTGCTATCTGTTCTCTGGTGGCGGGAGCACATGCCCCAGGCAGGTACTTTCATGGTTTCAGAGGCTGGCATCAAAATTACTGGGGCACATATCTGCAAGCACAGAGGTGGGGAACCTCCATGGGTTTGTCTAATGGGGGGTTCCCCCTTCTACACTTGCAGATTCATAGCCTGGGAATCCCTGTGTAGGGGATTCTCGCAGCACACATCACTGGAGTGCCCCAGTTCGGGTGTAACACAAATGGCCATTGTCCCGCAGGATTGGAAGCCATCAGAGCAGCAGGAGTCTGACTTGTGGGACAACAACCTCAGTGACATCTTTAGACACCAGTGATGTGGGTCTGGTGTGACTGGACATGTCCCAGTACAGATGATCCTGCTCTAACCATGGTGTCTATTTATATTATACCCTACGAAGATAAATATGGTTGAAGGGAAGCTGTGTACAAATTTCAAATTTTAGTCTATTTTTAATGTTATTTTAGACGTTGCTGCTGAAGAAGAATGTAGATATCCAGGCCATTGCACATTTGCATACTGCCAGGAGGAGATAGATGTATGGACTTTGGAGCGTAAAGGAGCCTTTAGTAGAGAAGCTCTCTTTGGAGGAAATGCAGAAATCACCTTTACTGTATCCCAACTCCTTCAAGAGCACCATGGACTATTTATGTTTCTTTGTGAGGTGCTTATTTAACAAGTTACTTTGGCTGCTTGTTTCTTAATGATCTGAAGTAATTTAAAATGTTTTTTTTCTTTTAATTGTTTTGGTTGATAGCAAAATGAACTGCTAATGGAATGATTTGGTTCATTGCTAATTTGTAAATGTTGGTGTGCACGTTGGATAATAGTCTGAGCAGCCTGTGTCTTTGCTAGGATCTTTTGGGTGATTTCATATAGAAAAAGTATCTAATGTTTGTCTGTAATCACCTGTTTTTGTATTTCAGAAATGTTTTGATCACAAACCCAGAATAATAAGCAAAAGGAACAAGGATAATTCTTCTTCTTGTTCTCACCCTGCTATGCATGACTTTGAAGATAACAAGTATGTCTGAAATGTACTCAGTATAAATTTCAAATTAAAAGTAGCAGAGGTTTCAAAGGATTCTAATTTTAATCCTTTAACTACTGATGAGCTTTTATCTTATTTGTTAATGGACAGGTTTTCTTCTCAGCCTCTTGTGGCCCAAGATCAAGTGTCTGATCTACAACAGGGCTGTTCAGCTTCTAAGTGGCCAGGGGCCAAATGCCTCGGGGGCCGCACCAAGCTGAGACATGGGCCCCTTGGCTGTGCACTGTGAGGATGCTACCCCACCCCCACTGTACTTCATGGTCCCAGGTCCCCCAGCCACTGTACTGCCCCACACCCTGGAGTGGGGGCAAGCAGCAAGAAGGTGGAGGAGGGTGGGGAAGCCCAGGTGGCTGCAACTTAATCCTTGGTGGACTGCCAGTTGTTATACCCCTGATCTCCAAACATAAATGTTACCCGTTGCACAAAAGGTGCTATAAAAGGTATTGCATTTGTTATATGGATGGGAGTCTGAAGGAAAATGTTCTAATGCCTGACATACAGTTCCTTTATTATGAATGAATTTGCTGCATTTCCTTATGAAAACATGTAACTTGTCATCTCTTGAATGATGCTATTCTTTATCAAAACCCTACAAAGTAATGTTGATCAGGTCTGCTCGTCCCATTAGTCAACAATTTAAAATTCTTTCTAATCAACTTAAATAAAGCTGCTCTGAAGTAAGTGTTTGCATTGTGTTAAGCAATGAAATTGTGTGGGAAGGGGCACACACTTTATTTTTTTTAATGTGAACCACCACACTAAGAGTTCCTTATGTGTTAGTTCTTAAAATAAATCTACACATACATTTTTAAAACTATTTAAAGTATTGGAACACCATTACAAATCTAGATACTTTATGGCCTGTAGCAGTTTAAACTTACCCTGTTTTTTGGCATTTCCCACTTGAAGTATAGGAAACACTGCAGAGATAATGGCAAGATAAATGTTAAGGGGGAGCTGAATCTATTTTTAATGCAGGTTTACAAATAATTATCAAAAGTTCTTGCACATGGAAATACTTGCATAGAACTAAATATCTCTTGTTATATCTGTCAGCAGTGAATATTGTGGGGTCCTGTGATGATCTACAGTGCACACAATTGGATTTAATAACAAAGTACTGATTTTTGTTGACACTTTGTCTTACCTCTAAGTGGCTAGTTTTAGGTTGGTCTTGCAGCGAGATTGCTCTTAGGCTGAGTATCACTCTGCTTGGATCTAAGCCGGGGCAGGCAGAATGTGGCCCATGGGCCAGCTCCAGCCCACCAGGCCATTCTGTTTGGCCCAGGGGGCACCTAAAAAATGTAGAAAATTGACAGGCAGCCAGGAGCAGATAAATATTAAAGATGACAGGAGCCAGGGGCAGTAGGACCCAGTGGAAGCCAGTGGCAGGAGCTTGCAGACCTGCAGCAAGGCCAGCCCTGCCCCACCCCAGCCTTCTTCCATCCCCAAGCGGAAGCCTCTGCCTACTAGAGGCTTCTGGTCTGGGGCTGTCCCCCACCTCTCTCCATCGGGGAGGGAAATTCAGATGAGAAGGAGCAGGGGAGGACCATGGGCAATTGCTTCAATCCTCAGGCCAGGCTGGACCGGTTCCTGCTGTGTCCTGCAGTCGCAGCCATGCAGCCAGGAACGGCGTGGTGCCAGAGCACCGCAGTGGGCATGAAAGTGGTGGCAGATGGGGGAGAAGTGGCAGCGAGCGAGCATGGGGCCTGCATAGTGCCCAGGGCCAGGGCTGGTGGGGACCCAGAGCAGGGCAGCAGGTGCATGGGGCCCAAGCCAGCAGGGCTCTGTGGAGCCAGGCTGAGCTACACTACTAGGAAGAGGGGGGGATGCTGCCCTGATTCCGTAGAGCCCTGCTAGCCTGGCCCCATGGTGCTGTCACTTCGCTCTGAGCCCTGTCAGTACTGGCCCCACACTCCTGCCCAGCTGTTGCTGCACACCCACTGACTGCCCACTCCCCTGGCCGGTAGCTACCATTTACCCACTTTCCTGCCCACTGGCCACTCTAGCACCATGTGGCTCCTGGCTGCATCACCGGACTGTGGGAGCACAGGGCCCGTGCCAGTACCTGGGGACAGGAGTGTGTGTCTGTGTGTGTGCGTGTACTTGTGCAATGAGGGAAGGAGGAGAGAGAGATGGAGAGTAATGAGAGAGGAAGTGTGTGTGTGTGTGTGTGTGTGTGTGTGTGTGTGTGTTCGTAGGGCAAGTCCCACATGCACCCATGTCCCCCCTTGCACTGCCATACACGCAGACCCTCACTGCCCCTCGCACATCCCAGCCACCCTCCCACCCACACTCCACATATCTCCACACACACACCCACATGCTTCCTCATCCCACCCCTCCCACAAACACTTCACAGATACCCATATCCTCCCCCACACACCCACAGCTCCACACAAACTTATACCTCCCATAATATACAAGAGGAAGACTTAATTTTAAGCTATTGTGCGATCATCTCTATGTACACTACACAAAGACACAAATCAAGACAAATATTTTTTGAAAGCAAATTAATGAATTTTTCTTGTTCCGAGATGTCAAAACTCCTTGCTGAAAGGAGTACTTCCAGGGGTGGGACTTCTGGTGGCAAAGGTCAGGGACTAGGGGCATGACTTTGGGTCACAAGATTTCAACTGGGGGTGAGGCTCTTGTCAAGGGGTGGGGCTATCCGTGCAACCCTTGACAGCTTGTCAAAACTCGGTAAGCAGCCCTCCAGCCGAAATAATTGCCCACTCCTTGTCTAAGCAACCAAAGATGCCGGGGTTGGAAAATCAGTATGTCAGTTTAGAGAAATGTTTTATTTAGATTTCTTCTGTTTGAATAAAAACAAAACTGCAATATAAAATCATTGAATATGGCACTGAGTTAAGGTTTTCCAGTGATCTGGAAAAGAATATGTAACATGGTTGGTAAAGTCCATACATATAGTAATTGGTGTGGCAAGGATCAACTTCAGAGATTTAAAATGAAAAAGAAAGTTAAATGATTTACCTTGGTCAAAGGGTACATCTAAATGAAAAACTATTTTATCTGTAGAGAGCTCCTTGGTCAACAAATGCAAAAAAGATCTAGTGGCTTGTAGTTTGAGTCTACGCTGACTCAAAATGGAAGTAGATTTTTAAAAAAAGTAACAGTGTTGGACCTTCTGGAAGAATGGACTGTTACATTTGTGTTTGCACATCACCTAGCACAATTGCTTATATTTGGAGCTTGTAAGAGCTGCTAAAATACAAACATTAACTCTTGGAATACATTACTTGAGATGCTGGATTCTCTACAGTCTGAAAACTTTTGTTGAATCCTGTAGGCTTGATGCAAGAATTTCTAGGGGAGAATTCTAGAACCTGTGTAATGCAGCACCCCAGACTGTATAAACATAACTCTTTTTGCCTCTAAATTCTTTCTTTGGGAATGTTTTGATTTAAGAGTGTATACAGAATCATAGAAAATTAGGGCTGGAAGGAACCTCAGGAGGTCATCTAGTCCAATCCTCTGCTCAAAACAGGACCATCCCCAACTAGATCATCCCAGCCAAGGCTTTGTCTACCTGGGTCTTAAAAACCTTCAAGGATGGACATCCACAACCTCTCTGGGTAACCTGTTCCAGTGTTTTACTACCATCTTAGTGAGAGTTCCTAATATCTAACCTAAACTTCCCTTGCTGCAACTTGAGAC